TAGTTTTATGGATGCTAGGTGGATAGACTCTTATCTAATGGTAACTTGAACGTAGGTCTATCTTGGAGAAAAGAATAGCCTCATGAAATTCATCTAAAAGCTCGTCAACATTAGGTATAGGGTATTTGTTAGGAATAGTAAATTGATTTAAGGCTTTGTAGTTAACACAGAATCTCCATGTATTATCTTTTTTCTTAACTAGTAAAATATGATTGGCAAATGGGCTGGAGATGGATCTAATAAAACTTGAATTAAGAAGATCAACAACTTGCTTTTCAATTTCAGATTTTTGAAAGAATTGATATCGAAATGGGCAAATATTTGGAGGTTTGGAATTGGTTATCAATGGGATGGCATGTGAGTGAGATCGAAAAGGAGGCAAAGTGGTTGGGTTTGCAAAAATAGCTTCATACTCATTTAATAAGGAATTCAAATCTAGTGGAGGAGGTTTACCTTCATTTTTAGCAAGTTTTGAAATAGCTTGAAAAGAAGCCTCAGTTCTCATTACTATTGGGAGACCTTGTAACTTATAGCGCTTTCCGTTTAGATAAAAAATCATGAACATTTTGTTGCAATTTGCTTGAACTGTGTTGAGTGATACAAGCCACTTGATGCCCAATACCAAGTCTGCCCCTCTAATCATGAAGGGGTAGTAATCCTGCATAATTTGCAAGCCAAACAACTACACAGTAATTTCTTGGCATATTTGGTTACATTGTATGATTTTCCCATTTCCAATTTGAACACCAAAAGGGGAAATTGACTAAACCAGAAGATCCAAACTTGTAACAAGTGATGTCACAATGAAGTTGTGCGTTGATCTACTATTTACCAAGATGAGTACCTTTTTTCGCTAATAGAACCTTAAAGCTTCATTGTAGTACCACTGTTTTTGCCCAAGATGGTGTGTAGGGATCTCAGCCAAATCGGGGGGGCTACTTCCTTATCAATGGCATCGTTAGGTAAATCTTGGGTTGTCTCGTCGCCATTTGTAATCTCTAGGAGGGATAAGGGTGATGCTTTGCTACGATGGCCATGTGCAAATTTTTCATTGCACTTAAAACATAGTCCCTTGGTGAGCCTATATTGTCTCTCAACATCCCATGGTCGAGTCGATTTGGAGTTGGACACTGATTAGGTAGATGGCTCAAGGATCTACGAGCTCATGGTTGAAGTGAATGATATTGCGTGATTGGGAAACACATGAGAAGGAAGTTTGTTGTGTGGGCCAACTTGGATGAGACTAGTTGGACCCTTTGGAACAACGGGTTGAGCCAACTTTAGCCTCAAACTCCAAGGCAAGGCTTATTGCTTTATAGACTGTTCTTGGCTTATGTATACGTACATAAGCTTTCAAGTCTTCCACAACAAATAATGTTCTGGCCAATTATAGACTCGAGCAGCTTGCTTGACAAATTCTTGCCGATATTTTTGGATAGATCCTGTCTGTGTGACGTTGCATAGATGCTTGTCAAGATTTTGGACCTCGGCTAGTCCATAATTTTCTTGTAATTCCTGCACTAATACCTCCTAATAGAGGGGCATTTGCTTGCTATTAATCCACGCAAATAAATCAAGTGCATTACCCTCCAAGTACATGGCGGCTATGTCGACTTTAAGTTCATCCGGAGTTTGATAATAGTGGAAATATTTTTTCACTTTCAACATCGATCCACGAGGATCACCTCCCTCACATTTGGGAAATTCCATCTTTGTGTAGGGGCGTTTACAAGGACTCTTAAGTGACCACGAACTATTCACATCTTCTTTTTCTAAGTCTAACCAACTGATTTGCCCTTGTCACGTGGGCCAATATTAACTTCTTTGGCTCTTCTTTTTTCTGTGGCACCCCAACTGATATCTGTTTGTTGAGTACCACTTGCTTGAACTTTGAGTGCCACTACATTCGTAGCCAAGGAGTCAATTGCTACTAGTCGAGAAATGATGGACGAAAATTGTTGGGCCATGGGATCTGCGGTTGAACTTACTGGAGAAGTGGTAGATATTGTTGGATTTGTGGGTGAATTATTGGATGAGTTTGTACGTTCATGGAGGGCAATAGATGATCGGGTGGACACCATATTGGATAAGATGACTCTGATACCAAATAATAGATGAAGAAAATTAATTAAGACAAACATCACTAATAACATAAATACTGCTGTTCATAGAGAAAGGATAAGGCTCTAGTATAAAGTGTTTCTCCAAAATCAATCATATCCAAAGAGTATGGGGTATGCAAATCATAATTTTAGTTTTATTTTTGATAATTTAGTTTGATTTTTTGGTTTTTATACTTTAGAAATAAAACCAAACCAATTTAATTATAAACCAAACCACACCAAACTAAAAATTTTAGTTTGGTTTGGTTTGGTTATTATTTTGATTTATTATTATTTAAAAAATATTTAAATAAATTATTTATTTGATTTTTTTATTATCAAATATGTATATATATGCATGTAAATGTATGTGTGTGTATATATATGTATATATATTTGTATATATATACATATATATATATATACATCACATATATTTATACACATATATATACATAAATATACATAACATACACACACACATACATATATGTATATACGTGTGTATATATATACATACATATATATACATAACATATATATATACACACACAATAAATATATATATATGCACAACATATATATGTATATACACATGAATATATATATATATATTGTGATATAAATATTAAAAATATGTATGTGTGCGTGTACATGCACGTATATATATGTGTGTGTAATGTGTACACGTATATATATATGCGTATGCGTGTGTGTGTGTATATATATACATATATGCATACATGTATGTATGTATATACATATATATGTATCTATATATTTATATATAATATAAATATATGTGCATGTATATATATTTATATTTATATGAGTAGATAAAATTTACATATATATATATATGTATGTGTGTGTGTGCACACATACATGTAAGTATATATATGTATATATAGATACATATAAATATATATTTATCTAAGTATATGTGTATGCGTGTATATATATATTAATATTTTTTTATAGAAGAGAAATATTTTCAAATTTGTAGTTTTTGGTTTAAAATGGTTTAGCTTAGTTTTTAGACCAAACCAAACTATAATTTTGGATTATTTTCTTAAAATCAAACTAAACTAAATTAAATTTAAAAAACCAAACCAAAATTTAAAATTTGGTTTGGTTTAATTTAACTTGGTTAATTTGCACACCCCCACAAAAGAGTACTCTTTTATAAATTTTATACTTAATATTTATTTGCAAAATAAAGGAAAACTAATAATTAGAAATTAAGAGAATCACATGGAATAACGGCAGAAGTGGAGATCATATTTTGTTAGTTATAGGATGTGTGCATTTATTACTCCCACGTGTAATACTAGTAATTTCTCCACTTTCATAATTAGTAATTTCCCCACATTCTCCATATTCAACAACTTTCCCTATTCAGCAACTTCTCCATTTTTATAATTAGTATTTACTATATTCTCCACGTTCAATAATTTTTCCAGCAACTTTTTCATATTTTTTCTTCCAAAAATAGGTCTGAAAACTAGGTAATTTCTATTAATATGTTACCAATGTTCATTTGTTAGTATCTGGACTGGTGATCTATCTATTTAATCATGCTAGGGCGAAGGTTACTTCAGAAAAATTAAAGCGTGTATAGTTGCCATTGGACGAATCTATTTTCTGTCAAAGATTATAGGAAATTGTCACTGCAACATATGAAACAAACACCTAGGCTAGACCGAAATATAGTTCAGTAATGTGGGCTTTGGACCCCATCTTGTATAGGTCTTGCAATTCCCTCTTTCTTCTCCTTGAGAATCCAATTCAACGTCATTTATCTTGAAAGTTTTGGGCTTGAGGGTCTAAATTTGGGGTTCTTAATACGAGTAATCTGGCTTCGTTAAAAAAAAAAAAAAATGAAGTTATATGTTGCTTAATCCATTGCTTTAATTAAAAGAAAAAATACCTAGAAGCCCATAATTCCCGCTTGTCACCCGGTGATTACCAATAAACTAAAAGCCTGATAGAAATCATCTTCACACTGGTGAACCAAATTGGAATCACAAAAATCGAAATTTCAAATGGAAGACGCTACTTTTAACTCCACTGCTGTTGCTTAGAACTAAATATGTCGAATGGGATGGTCCCAAGAAATATAATTCTGAAGGATGCCAGAATAGGTATCATCTAAGTGCTATTACAAGTGAAACCAGCAAATTAACATCTAAGAAATGGAAACTAAGACAGCTTTAGTTTAATCTAAGACCAATACACGGAATTCAATCTAGCTTTACTGAAGAGAAAAGCCAATGGACAAACAAGAAAGAAGTGAGGAAGCCAACAGCCCCAGTTGCTAGCATAATGGCCACAGCCATGAGTAGAGAATACCCAACGTATAACATTGCAGAAACAGGTCCGCTTAGGCTTTTCAGATCAAAAACCACGTATTTGATCGAATACAAGAAGATGTAGAGAGCAACCGAACCAGATGCAAAGAAGGACTTCCACCACCACCTCCAATCTTCCGCACAAAGGTGCATGTAAGTGAGGACTAGAGACACTCGGCACAAACCACCACCAAGAGGATTAAAACAACCAACAAGAACCCGAAAACATAGTAAACGCGTCCCATCCATATGCTAGACAAGATAAAGAAGAGCTCAATGAAGAGGGTCCCAAATGGAAGAACCCCACCCCCAAGAACTAGGAGCCAAGAGGGGAATCTTTGGGGGGGAATTTCACGAGGAATTTGATTGGTGGAAATCGGGTATTGAAGAAAAGAAGCCTTAGTCCCAAGATATCCACCGGCAACAGTCAGAGGTACAGAAATGCAAAACCATAGCAATAGCAGGAATATGTATGTAGAGAATGGAATGGCTCCCGTGCTATGACTTCCCCACAAGAGGAGATTTAAAATGGTCAGTAAAAGAAATGCTAATCCGGGAAGAAACAAGAAACCCTCCAAGCAACAGATAACCAACCCCTTGAATCACCACCTGTCATCGTTTGCAGAAGCCAAACTGCAATATAACCGGCCAAGAGACCACAGAAGGTGTAAAAGAAAAGCATGCCGGAAACAAGGGCTCCACGAGAAGCAGGAGACATGAATCCAAGAGCAGCAAAGAAAATAGTCTCTAAAGCCATTCCTAGGATCCGAAACCCATCTCCAACCATTATGCAAAGAAGTACCGGGTTAGCCGGGGTGCGGAAAATGTCACCAACAACAAGCTTCCACCCAGATAATTCTTCAATTATCTCAGCTTGGGCCTCCTTGTCAAGCTCCTCATAATGAGCCAAGTCACGATGAATTGTTCTCATGAGGATTACGAGGATTATGGCCGCAAGAAAAGCTATGACCATTAGAGAATTGAAGATTGAAAACCAATGAACCTTTGCTCCTTCCATCTTTAAATATGCATCCCATCTTAAAGACCACTTGATGTCACTCTCCACAAAAGACACCTCATAGCTGAATGGTATAGGATTGCTTTCACTTACGTTCATTCCCACTGTAATGGGATCACATTCAATGGAGTAAGGGTACTTATCATACATCTTTAGTTTCTTCACCGTCTCAGGAATGTGACGAAAGCTGCAAGGTGTAACTTCGAAACCAACCACCATATAACCTTTTGATTTATTGCTCGTTTTGTCATCTGTGGTGATCAATTCTGCCCCATCTCCAGCCCCTATGACACCAGCCATACTTGGCTCCTCGTATTTATGAATCAAAACTTTGAACTTCAAATGGTTGAACACGTAATATTCATCTTGAAACTTCGTCCCAACAGGATACCCTGTCCAGTGAAGAAGATAACCGTCTTTTATCATGACCCGGATAGCAGGAAGGTTGTCAAGGTTCAAATTGACTTGATAGGATTCATCAATCCTTTCTTTCAAGGTCTTGAATTCTTCGGCACATAAAGGATTGGAATTGCAGAGGAATATTTGAGTCTCGTTGGAGTACATCTTGAACCGGTAAGGAGAGTTCTCGAGTCTGTCTCCCATGAGGAGCTCTCCGAGGTTCTCTGCGCTGTCCTTGATGCCCTCCGAAGGCCTGCAGAAGGGCAAGCTGTAGTATGCGTAGGGGATTTCGGTGTTAATCGATGACAATGAATTAACTTTCACAGATAGTTTGTCGCCTATATTATAGTTGTGCGGAAAGCTACCGGGAAGATAGAACCCATCTACAAATTGAAAAACAAGAAAACAAATCAATACCCAGTTCCTGAAATGGCCCATTGATGAGATAGCCAGATGGAACAAACGGACCCAAAGAGGACTGATCTTGATACTGTCTATAATGTAGGTCGTGGATTTCGATAATCAATTTCAGGATATCAATGTTTTCCTATTTTGCTGTGGCGAATGAACGAGCAAAGGAGGGGTGCCTCAAAGTCTCGGACAGTTTATGGATGGATGAAGGAGAGAAGGACCAAATAAACTAACATTCTATTTATATGTTTGCATTTTGCATCAGCCCGTTCATATCGAGGCTTGAATTTCTTTTGATTAATCAATGTTTATTCCATGTAACCAAATTATTATATCCTATAAATAGCATAATGGGACTGTTATGGAAATTTAATTATGTAGAACATTCATTTACCAAATTAGTTAGCCTAATTAGCTATTAGAGATTTCCTAATTTATATTTCTGCTAATTAATATGTGAGCTCTATGTGTATATTTGTTTCTTATATCATTCAAAAATGTAGAGAGAGGTACATAATTCTTCATCTTCAATAAACAACCGACACGTGGGAGTGAGTCAGTTGCTTGTCTAATTCTTCAGTCTCCGTGTTCTTTAGCCAGTAGACTCCCATGAGTGAGTTGAGTGAAAATAAGAAGGAAAATCTCTCCCATTCGAAACTTGAGAGATAGTCATGTCTGATAGGATTTGTAACGAGTGTTTATGAGCAATTTATAACCAATAATTATGAGCAATCTAAAATGTATAAAATAATCACACAAAACATAACAATTTTTATGTGAAAAACTCCTTCAATGTGAAGGATAAAAATTACGGACCTCTCTCCAGTCCAAGGAAAAACTCTACTATTAAAATATTAATGTTTACAGCAATTAAAATCTATCACAAGAAATCCACAACCAAAATCTCAATCACACTTCAAAAATATTCAAGAGATAATAAGGTTATGGAAATATATCACCAAAGGACAGTTGCTGTCAACACAATTTGAGCACCTTCTGGTTGTTCAAATGCAATCTCCACCAATCAAATTAAAGAACGATGAGTCCACAACGTGCCCTCCAAAAATCAGCTCAATTGGACTACAAATGACCTTCCGATCAGCAAAGATGATGAAACTGATTTTTTGACATAGCAACCTAAAAACAGATTATGTTCGAGCAGTCTAAACCCAATAATTTGGACAACCAAGTCAGATCTCCACCGTTCAGAATCAAGAACCACAAGTGAAGAACAGTTACTCCAAATTTGAGCTCGATCCAACAGTGAACGAACTAGCAACAGTAAAAGAGTGAACTGAATACAGAAAAATTTTTAGAAAAAACACAGAAAGCAATTTCTGTAAATTACTCAAAACTTGATGATTCCGACATCCAAACAAGATCTCCACCGGTCAGATTCAAGAACAAAGGATGAAGAACATCCAGTCCAAATTTGAGCTCGATGCAACGGTGAAACGAACTTACAAATGCAAATTCAATGAGCTGAATGTTAGAGCAAAAAAAATTTCTTCTCTCTCCCTTGGTGAGCTGTGCCTCCTTCACTCTTCAAATAGTCTACAATTTTTCCCTCTTAACCTAAACACATGAAAAATACAATATATATGCAAAGGGTCTAAAACCCTAATGGGACCCACAATTTTTTTTAAAAATATTCCCTTCACATAGGAGGGAACCCAATAATTCTCCCTCTCCCGACTATGTGGAGGAATGTCTCAAACCAACAATCAAACGACATGTCTTAAACTTAGTCCTTGGAAGAACTTTTGTGAACATATCAAAACCATTATCATCAGTGTGTATCTTTTCAAGTTCAAGCAACTTGAAATCTAAAACATCTCGAATCCAATGATATCTCACATCAATGTGTTTGGATCTACCATGAAAAGTAGTATTTTAACCGAGATGAATTGCACTCTAACTATCATAATATAAGACATATCGTTATTGAGTGAATCCAAGTTCATTCACAAATTTCTTCATCCAAAGTAACTTCTTGCAAGCTTCAGTAGTTGCAATAAACTCAGCCTCTGTGATAGACAATGCAATATATTTTTGCAATCTAGATTACCATGCCACTGCTCCCCCTACAAAAATAATCAAATACTCAGAAGTAGATTTTCTAGAATCAATATCCCTTGCCAAATCAGAATCTGTATAACCAGTGAGAACAGGTTTATCAATTCCAAAACACAACTTCAAATTAAAAGTACCACAGAGATATATTAAAATCTATTTTACTACATTCTAATGCTCCTTTCCTACATTAGATAGAAATCTACTTACTGTACCAATTGCATGGGCTATATATGGTCTAGTACAAATCATAGCATACATCAAACTCCCTACTGCAGATGCATAAGGAGTTCTTTGCATATCTACTTTTTCTTGCTCACTAGAAGGTGACTGTTTGACACTCAATTTAAAAAATGTGTTAAGAGGAGTACTTACAGTTTTCGTCTTTTCCATATTAAACTATGTAATACCTTCTCAATGTATTGCTCTTGAGACAACTACAGTTTCTTACATTTTCTATCACGGATGATCTTCAACTATTTTTTCAAACTATCAATCTTGGAAGAGTTAGGACCTACAATGAGTATGTCATCAACATATAATAACAAAATGATAAAGTCATCATTAGAGAATTTTGTACAAAAATACAATGATCAGAAGTAGTCTTCTTATACCCTTATTGTACCATAACTGACTCAAACTTCTTATACTACTGTCTAGGTGCCTGTTTTAAACCATACAAGCTCTTTTTCAATTTGCAAACATAATTCTTTTTTTCCTTTATCACAAAACCTTCAAGTTATTCCATGTAAATTTCTTCCTCTAAGTCACCATGGAGGAAAGCTATTTTTGCATCCATTTATTCAACTTTTAAATCAAGGCTTGTAGTTAAGCCCAAAATAACTCGAATGGATGACATTTTAACAACTGGTGAGAAAATTTCATCAAAATCAATTCCTTTTTTCTGATTGAAACCTTTAACAACTAACCTGGTTTTATACCGTGTACATGAGGAATTTTCTTCATGCTTCATCTTATAGACCCACTTGTTCTTCAAGGTTTTTCTGCCTTTAGGAAGCTTAACCAGTTCAAATGTATGATTATCAAGTAAAGACTGTATTTCATCCTTCATAGCTGTAACCCATTCTGTCTTATGCTCACTTTCAATAGCCTCTTGAAAACATTCATGTTCCTCTCCATCTGTCAATAATACATACTCATTAGGAGGATATCTAGAAGAAGGTTTGCGGTTTCTGGTAGATTTCCACAATGGAGCTTCATGGTGCTCAACATGTTTCATCTCTAAAAATAAAAATAAATATTAATATGAAAAATAAAAACAAATTAAAAATAAAATAATAGGTAAAAATAAAATTTTGAATTCACAAAGCGTTTTTTTGCATTGCCAAAATATGTTTTCATGATTCATTTCCAAAATATGTTTTCATATTATGCATGAGGCTTTTTCAGTATTTTTGAAAAATTATTTTAATTATAATTTATCATGTTTTCTCCGGTCAATTCAAATCAAATTGTTTTCTTTCAATTAGAAGTTGCATTCTAGAAATGTTCTTTCTTTCTCTCTCTCTCTCTCTCTATCACACCCTGCTCCTTCTATCCATCAAGGTAAGGCATGATAGCAGGGTAACAACTAACATTCTACTGTGCTAGAGTACAGTAGCATACTGGCCATTGTAACCCCTACTTTGTACTAAACTTGTATATGTGTACTTGTTAAACTCATGTAACATAATATTATAAACAATTTGGAAACATGTGGCAGTAAAATATAAACTTGATAACTATTCAACAATAACCATTACTAACAATAATACATTTTCTACCAACCCATAAGTAGAATATAAACTTGATAACTATTCAACAGTAACCATTACTAACAATAATACATTTTCTACCAACCCATAATTATTTCATGACTGTCACAACTTAACATCCATTGTACAATCTCTCATTCTCTCCTAAAATGAATTAGATATAGTAGCTCTACAATTTATGGGACTTGTCAACCTTTTCTATTGTATGCTCTAATGTAGAAAATGTTAAGATTGGTGCTCTCTAAAGCTAATTGCTAGAATCTGCAAGGGAAGTAAGTAATGAGACCAAAGTCCGAATGAATGGCACGCAAATTAAACTTAGCAGAAACAGATAACTTTTTCTATTTATAGCATTTCCAGGAAATTTTATAAAACCATCTTAAACTACTGAAAATACTAAAAATCATAAAGCAAGGAAAACATGTAATTTCTGGCAATTTGCAGTGTCAAGATCCATGTCAAATCATGAAACATAAAAATCTGAAAAACATAAACATCATCTACATAAAAAATACATCTATAGCTTTGGCTGATGTGCATGATAGGATAATATTTGAGGGGTAGTATACATGAAAATAAAAAATTTAGGACATAGTTTGGCTCTCGTCAAGGCAAACCATGTCAAAAACATACTAGGTGCTACACGTGTAACATCCCAACCAAAGACCCCATGTGGAATATTTTATGTTCTCCCTTATATATACATGAATATACATTTAATGAACCTCATATTTCACGTCCATGTGATAACAGTGTGTTTTGAAACATAGTCAAGCAAAGATATTATCATTTTCCTCATATATTGGCTTGTCAACTTAAAAATGCCATTTCATGTTAACTTCAATTCTTTTTTCGCGCTAATGCTTTGGAAGATTAGGAGGGGATTAAGTAGGAGATTAAGAAATAAAAAAATAAAAAATTCATTAGAGAATCTATTAGGTGAAGGGGGCACAAGGGGAATTAAGCCTATTATGCAAGGGCAACTTAACCATTTCACTCTGGCAAAGGGAGGTGTGTGCTTCACCAGTCTACTTTGGCCAACTCTTGAACCACCTTAAAGAGCTCATAAAAGCCCTTGAGCTGCTTGCTTAGGGCGTAAAGGAAGCACAAAGAAGGAGCAAATGAGGAGGAGAGGGAGAAGACTTGAAGGGCTGGACTTGAGCTTGAATTTTGGCAAGA